GCCTTTTGGAAAAGCACTTTTGGGATATTATCAGGCACAATTAACTAGGAGCATTTCGAGTTTAAAACACAGAAGAGTTTATGATTGCTACCTGTAATACATGAATCTGGTCAACTAACAGTCAAAGCTAAATCAGTGTTAGATAAAAATGGAATTCACGGGAGGCAGGGCTTGGTGTCTTTGTGGCATTGCAATGATTCCAAACGGATGACATGTTTTAACTCCACTTTCCAGCTCAGCTTGCTGTTCTCCTATATCCGTGATGGCCAACCTATGGCACGCGTGCCACAGGTGGCACGCAGAGCCATTTGTGCAGGCACGTGAGCCCCAGCCAAACTTACCTGCACTGCACATGCGTGTGCCTCCCCGCTGATTTTTGTCCCATTTGAGGCCATTTTTGCTCTCCCAGAGGCTCAAGGGAAGCCTCTGCAGTCTTGGGAGGCCAAAAAAACAGGCTTTCCGGAAATACCAAAACTTTCCGGAAGTGCCAAAACGGGCCTGTTTTCAGCTTCCCTCGAGCCTCCGGGAGGGTGAAAATGGCCTCCCCTGATCTCCAGAGCCCCTCCGGAGGCTGAAAACGGGCACTTCCGGTATTCCCGGATGGCCCATTTTTCGGCCTTCCGAGGTCTCAAAGGCTTCCCTCGAGCCTCCGGGAGGGTGAAAATGGCCTCCCCTGATCTCCAGAGGCCCTCCGGAGGCTGAAAACGGGCACTTCCGGTATTCCTGGAAGGCCCATTTTTCGGCCTTCCGAGGTCTCAAAGGCTTCCCTCAAGCTTCCGGGACAACGAAAATGTCCTCAAACGGGCTGAAAACAGCTGGGAGGCACCCGCATGAGCAGTGCAGGTAAGGGGGCAGGGTGGGGGTGTTGCGCACGCATGCACAGGGGGAACGGGGCGCATTGCATTGTGGGTGCCGGCACACGCATGCACGCATGCACTTTTGGCACACCAAAACAAAAAGGTTTGTCATCACTGTCCTATATATATCCTGCCAGGGAGATATTTTTGGCTCAAAAGGGTTGGGAATTGGGGGAGGGACTCTAGGAGGCAGTTCATGATGAGTCAGAGTTGAAAAAGCTTCTTGGACGAGAAGCGAAACGTCTTCAAAGAAAAACAGAGTCCAGTTGCCTTTTCAAAAAGCACCTTTGGGACTAGCTATCCATGAGTAAGCTTATTCACCTGTTGCTGCATCTCAACATTATAGAGCTCTTTCCCTTAAAAAAGAAATATTCTTGGACAATTTTGAACTTCTCTGCTACCTGCGGACATTAATCCTCCTACAACACACAATTATTGCCAGGTTTTACACAGCAGCGATTAAAATTCATCAGATCACAACCTGTGCCTCAAAGCAGCCTTAAGGAGTATTTGACTTGTGATTTACTCGAGAGAGTTTCATAACATAATAGTTTTAGTTAGCCATATATTGGCTTATTTCCCCCACACACACACACACATTTACCATGTTTTTTTATCTCTCTTTATAGGTTTTAGGGTTTTTAAAGTCACTTATTTGAAATAGTATAGGTCCGTGATGGCAAATCTATGTCACGCATGCCACAGGTGGCACGCAGAGCCATTGGTCCAGGCATGTGAGCCCCAGCCAAAGTTACCTGCACTGTGCATGCGTGCGCCTCCCAGCTGATTTTCGGCCCATTTTCGCCCCCCCGAAGGCTTGAGGGAAGCCTCTGCAGCCTCGGGAGGCCGAAAAATGGACCTTTCGGAAATACTGGAAGTGCCGAAACAGGTCCGTTTTTCGGCCTCCAAAGGCTACAGAGGCTTTCCCTGAGCCTCCGGGAGGGCGAAAACGTCCTCAAATGGGCTGAAAATGAGCTGGGAGGCGCATGCATGCGCAGTGCAGGTAAGGGGGGGGTTGTTGCGCGAGCATGTGCAGGGGGGGCAGGGCGCATTGCATTGTGGGTGCTGGCTTGTGCGCACTTTCGGCACACCACAACAAAAAGGTTCGCCATCACTGGTATAGCCTCCAAGGTTCCTTCCAGCCCATTCATTCTATTCTAAAAATGTTCTTCTTGGACTTTGCCTATTTTACATATATGTGTGTGTGTGTGTGTAGAGGTCGCCCTCAATTCACGACCACAATTGAGTTCAAAATTTCTGTTGCTAAGTGAAACATTGGTAAGGTTGAGTTTTGCCTCATTTTAGGACCTTTCTTGCTACCGTTGTTAAGTGAATCACTGCAGTTGTGAAGTTAGTAATACAGTAGTAAAGCAAATCGGGCTTTCCTTCCCTCAGATGGTCGCAAAAAGTGATCACATGACCCCGGGACCACTGCAACCGTCATAAATGTGAGTCAGTTGCCAAGGGTCTGAATTTTGATCAGGTGACCATGAAGATTCTGCAACAGTTGTTGGTGTAAAAAATGGTCACAAATCACTCTTTCCAGTGCTTGTCGTAACTTTGAACGGTCACTAAATGAACTTTTTAAAATCAAGACTGCAGGCAGGTAGGTAGGTAGGTAGGTAGGTAGGTAGGTAGGTAGATAGATAGATAGATAGATAGATAGATAGATGCGTGTGTGCGAGCGAGAGATGAGATAGATAGATATAGATAGATGGGAGAGGGAGAATGATAGATAGATATAGATAGATGATAGATCGATCGATTGATAGAGATAGATAGATAGATAGATAGATAGATAGATAGATAGATAGATAGATGGATGTGTGTGAGAGATATGATAGATAGAGATGTGTGTGTGTGAGAGAGAGATGAGATAGATATAGATAGAATAGATAGATGAGAGAGGGAGAATGATAGATATAGATAGATGATATATAGATGTGTGTGTGAGAGATGATAGATGATAGATTAGAGAGATAGATAGATAGATAGAGAGAAAGAATAGATAGATGAGAGAGAGAATGATAGATAGATGTGTGTGTGAGAGAGAGAATGAGATGATATAGATAGAGATAGATAGATGAGAGAGAATAATAGATATAGATAGATGATAGATAGAGATAGATAGATAGATAGATAGATAGATAGATAGATAGATAGATAGATAGATAGATAGAGATAGATAGATAGATAGATAGATAGATAGATAGATAGATAGATAGATAGATAGATAGATAAATGATAGATAGATGATAGAGAGAGTGATAGATTTAGATATAGATTTATATAGATAGATATAGATAGATAACAGGGATATGGCCTATGACTGTAGTAAAGATTAGATTGACTCAATTGGTATAGGGTTCCTTGCCTGAGCAGTGGGTTGGACTAGAAGACCTCCAAGCTCCCTTCCCACTCTGTTATTCTGTTATTCTGACACACGGGTAAGACTGAACTGAGACTGCCTTCCTAAGAATCTTTTCGGTCCGCTGATTTTCACTTTGAATCGAAGGGGAGGTTAGGAAATGGCTTTAGAAGATATTTGAAGTTGACCTGGAGCTGGGTTGAACTGACACGATCTCCGTGTGTGTGTGTGTGTGTGTGTGTGTGTGTGTGTGTGTGTTTAATTGCTTCTGGCTTAACACTTGGATGTTCTTGTGCCTTGGAAGGCGGGCTGCTGATATTTATGGCCTTCCGAGCACAGGATGTGTTGCATAATCTCTTCGTCAAGGTCATTGGTTGATGTGAGTGGTGCTGAAATGGGGCAGGGGGGGAAATCGGTGATGAAACATGTCTGGTTCTTTTCCTCCCTGTCTCTTTCTCCCGTGTGCGGATAAAATTAGTGCATAGTGATATTTACACACCTGTAAGGTAAATGACCCGGCGAGTCGATGCTATGACTTTTTCCTCTTTAGATGTAACCTAAGCATCTTCAATTGTACGCTGAAAACCCAGGCAGCCTTTTTTGAGAACCGAGAGGCTGCAGATTACGTAACAGCGATGTTTCATGAACTAAAGAATCAGTAAAATGAAACAAGCCCTGTTGTGTTTGCTAGTGCAGAAATCCTGACTATAATGGGAATTTACTCAAGTGTTTTCGTGGGATTTATATATTGTGGCTCTATCTAACAAAATGAAGAGAAAAGGAAAGTCTTACACTTAGGCAAGAAAAACCCAAATGGATACAGACTTGGAGAAGCTGGCTCAATAGCAGTAACTGTGAGAGGGATCTTGGAATCCTAGTGGACAACCAGCTAAATATGAGCCAGCAGTCTGCAGCCGCCCCCCAAAAAGCCAATGCAATCCTAAACTGCATTAGCAGAGGGATGCAATCAAGATAAAGTGAGGTACTAATACCACTCTATAAAGCCTTAGTAAGACCACACCTAGAGTTCTGCATCCAGTTTTGGTGACCACACTATAAAAAAGATGTTGAGACTCTAGAAAAAATGCAGAGAAGCGCAACCAGGATGATTAGGGGATTGGAGGCTAAAACATACGATGAATGGTTGCAGGAACTGGGCATGGCTAGTCTAGGGAAGAGAAGGACCAGGGGAGACACGATAGCAGTCTTCCAATATTTGAGGAGCTGCCACAGAGAGGAGGAAGGGGTCAAGCTATTTTCCAAGGCACCCAAAGGCCAGACAAGGAACAATGAATGGAAATTGATCAAGGAGAGATTCAACCTGGAAATAAGGAGAAATTTTCTGACAGTGAAAACAATCAATCGATGGAACAGAAGTTGCTTTCGGAAGTTGTGGGAGCTTCATCACTGGAGGCTTTCAAGAAGAAACTGGACTGTCATCTGTCAGAAATGGTGTAGGGTCTCCTGCTTGGGCAGAGGGTTGGACTAGATGACCTGCAAGGTTCCTTCCAACTCTTTTAATCTGTAATATTTCTTGATTCATTGTCTTAAGTAACCCCTTCCCGTTTGCAGGTTTAAGAGAAAAAGACGTGAGATTTGAAATGACAGCTTGCATTCTTATTAGGCAATATTTTACAGGCATAGAAATGTATGCTTAAGCAACTACTGCCTAAAACAATCTTCCTTCCTTCCTTCCTTCCTTGCTTCCTTCCTTCCTTCCTTCCTTCCTTCCTTCCTTCCTTCCTTCCTTCCTTCCTTCCTTCCTTCCTTCCCAGGCATACGAAAAACGTTTTCCAACTTGCCCAGAGATCCCAGTTTTTCTGGGGAGTGAGATCCTTCGCGATTCCAAGAGTGAAGATGGAGCCATTCATGTCATTGAAAGGAGTTGCAAATTGAACGTAGATGCACCTCGGTTACTCAAGAAAGTAAGGACGGTAGTACTATATCCCTTCTAACAGTCCCTATCCTTAAACTATCCCCAAACCCCACACCTTTTGCTCTTTGTTAGCCCTTTAGGGTGCTCTTCTTATTTTTTCTCCTGTTTTTGTCCAGATTGCTGGGGTGGAATATGTGTTTTTCATTCAGAAGAATACGGTGAACTGGAGAGAGAGAACACTCGTTATTGAAGCTCATAATGAGACCTTCGCCAGCCGTGTTATTGTCCTGGAGACATGCAACTACTCGGTCAGTAATCTGAACTGTGAGCTTTCTCTCTGTGCAAAGGACCAGCAGCTGGTTTGCATTTGGTCAGTTTTTAGAATGGATATCATTGCAATACTTCCTCCTCCTCCTCCTCCTCCTCCTCCTCCTCCTCCTCCTCCTCCTCCTCCTCCTCCTCCTCCTCCTCCTCTTTGTTATCACCATCATGTGAAGGACATCAGCCAAATTTGAAGTAACAATCTTCAAAGGTCTCAAAGATGCTTTTTTCAAAAGGCAACTGGACTGTTTTGTTTTTTTCTTGAGGAAAAATATTGTGTTTTGTTCTTTACCAACTGGTGAAGTTTCTTTCTTTCTTTCTTTCTTTCTTTCTTTCTTTCTTTCTTTCTTTCTTTCTTTCTTTCTTTCTTTCTTTTTTTCTTTCTTTCTTTCTTTCTTTCTTTCTTTCTTTCTTG